GAACAGCTGGGGAAAAAATTAAAAACAATACATAGATGTAGGAAAAACAACAATTAAAAACATAAACAGAAAGAAGGGTCTATAAAAGGGATACCATATTTTTAAAAAAGGTCTTCACCCACTGGTGGAAGATAACAAATGAAGGTAAATCAGTTTGGGTTTTTGGTTTTGTTTTTTAATTTTAAGGAGGGGGAGCTCAGCTCAGAATCCCTGAGTTCTAGTCACAAGTTACAGTGAATGCACACAATCCACATACAGTGTACACTTGATCGTTCTTTATGTAATTCTCGCGTTACAGTCAATGGACAAACAGCTGAACCTGTGACTGAAACCTCATATTTATCCAGGTATTGGTCTCCAGTTCCATTTGCAAAGTGAATACATGTTGGCTCTTTCTTTCAAATAGGCATACACACTTGCACGCAGGTTGCACCTACATTCCCTGTAACGTGGGACAAGGCTACTGTCTTTCTGTCTCAGGTATTCACATCTCACATAGAAATAATATTAGTCTCCATGATGCCACAAGGCCAAACAGGTGATTCCCCTCCAAAGGCCGACCTAAACTATCCAGCTTTGCCTGCCCGGCAGAAACTGAGCAAGTCCGGTAGGGCGCAGGGGTGTCATCCAAGAGTGCATTCCATAGGGAAGGGGTGTTGGGCATTACAAGTTGAAAACACTCAGTATATCTGGGGTTAAATGTTTGTTTATGTTACTCACAGGAAGTCACATGTTTCTCATGTAACCAATGTTCTTTAGCTGTAGGATGCCCGGGAATTTTCTCCCTGATCTAGGAATTCGATTGGGACTAAAGTGTCAAGGTATATTACCATTTTATGGCTTCTCTTCCCATCTTTGTTTGGTGTTCTGAAGAAGAACAAGAAGAGCAGCCATAACCTCTCTCTTCTAGTTTTGTCTTTGTAGTGTAAGGATGTAGCCGACTATGCTCTTTTGTTATTTTCATCCCAGTTACCCTTTCCCATGCTAGAATTTAGTAAAAACTTTATATTTTAATCACACATGGACTCTCAGTCTGAATTATTTTACTCAGGCTCTGCTGGGCTATATTATCTCTGCTAAATACCATTTTTTCCCAATATCTCACTATCACCCAACAAGGGGCCACAACTGAGAAAGCCCTTCCCCTTGCTGATAGCTAACCGAGCCATCCTGGGGCCAGGCGCCAGGCAAGAGGGGCCGCTGGAGGATGACCGCAGGAGTTCGGAGTGTGTGTGTGTGGGGGGGGTAATTTAACTGGATTCAAAACAGTGGACTCCCCCAGCAAGCATCCACGGGATTGCCTGGCCAGAAATGTTTGGGCTGGAGACTTGGAGTCGACCAATTCCAGGAACTCACTGTTGTCAGTGGGTTTAAAGGGGAGTTACCTCTGGGTAGGATTCCGACTGTGCCGGGAAGTTGGAGCTGAACAGGAGGTCAACTGAGGTGAGAAGAGAGAGGAGCATTGTCAAATTGTAAGAGGAGCATTGTCAAGCAGAGAATCCTGCCTTCCGAAAAGGCCTGTGGCGCTTGGCTACTCCCACATCCTCATCAAAAACCTTGACTATTTTCCGCGCAGTGGATGCTGGACTTGGATGACACTTGGATTTATTTCAGTGTTGAACTGGAAGAACTGTCGATTTGCCTTTCCTCGAGTCTTGCTGGATAACACCTTTCCTCCAAACGTTATAAATTGCTTTACCTGGACATTTTTTGGGAAACTCACACATTTCAGAACAGAAACAGAAAATGAAACGTGTTTGTTACTCTTTCTGTCACAAAAGGAAATTTACGAGAGGCTAAAAACAAGTTAGGCAAAAGTTACAGGCCACCTAAACAAAAATAAATAAGTCACTTCAGGGGTTTCAGTATGGGGGGGGGAGAGAGACTTGAGTGACTGCTCTTTTAATACATCATCATCATGGATGATCCTAAGGAACAACCTCTGCCCCTATAATCTGTCTCTGGCGCATTTTGAGGCCCAAACTCCCACTACCTCTCCAAACTCTGATGAGCACTTCTTGTTTGTGTTTGAAATCTTTAGCAACTGCACATTCGCTGGCGACTGAACTGCCTGTAAGATACCGAATCGCCAGAGCCAGCGACCTTTTACTTCGAAGCAGGTCTTGTGTGATCCATAGAAATTGTTCTAAAGTGCAATCCTATATAGAGTTACTCCGATCTAAGCGCATTGATTTCAGTGGGTTTGGACTGCCAGTCACTCTGCATAGAATGGCACCCTAAAGCATCCCCAGAAGGCCGGTCTTCTTTGTTCTTCTTCTGCAACTCCACAGGGTGCTGCCTTAATGCCGAAGGCTCTCTTTTTCTTAATTACGCACTCCACTGAAACACACACACACGCAACACAGAGAGGCGTTTCCCCAACCCATCACCTTTCCGTCCTCCATGTCGCAACAAGTTGGTTCAGCCGCACAGGTATGTCTCTTCCTCCGGAGGATCTCCAAGGCGAAGGGTGTTAGCGCAGTGTTTGTGGTTTTTAATTACTATTTTGCTCAGCAAGGTGATTGAAGAGCCTGGCGCCTAGGTGCGATTACGCCGTCTCCTGCCTCGCCTCGGAGACATCAGGGGGAGGGCTTCTCACACTAGGTGGCGCTCAAAGGTCATAAACACTTCCGCGGGCCGTCTCGGCTTTTCCATCCATTCACTTTCCCTTGCGTGCCTTCTTCCGCAAGGAAAAAAAGCGCACCGGGCTACTGTCGAAAGAGACGCCGCATCTTCGTAATGTTGGTTTCCCTTTAACTTAATCGCCCAAAATATTATGATGGGGGGGGGGGTTTGACCCATTTAGAAGTACAAGTTATGTATGTTATGGCAATGCATATAATGTTAGAAATTTGAAATACTCCTCATAATTTTCTAAAGAGGTTCACAAAATATTGACAATATCCCTCACTTCATCCTACCTAGCTAGCCCTTCGAGGCTAAAAAATAATATCGACCGGTCAGATAAAGGGATCCATGAATGGCCCGAACTAAGGTCTGATTCTTCCTTCCAGAGGTAAACTCTATTCGCGGTGTGACTTTGTTCTGCAGGCGCATCTGTCCATTAAGAATCTGCTTCGAAAGTACAGGCGACGTAGATGTCGAAGAATGGGTGCTCCCCAAATGTAATTCACCCAACAATTCACTGAACAATCTGTGTAACATTCATACCTCCCTCTTGTATTCAGTCATCAAGAGCCAGTCGGGGTACATCCCATGACTACGCCAAAACACCCATACGGAGATCTGTGTGTGTGGGTGGGTGTTGTACATTCTTGTGCAAAGTCACCAACTCAGTGAAAGTATTTGTGCTTACAAACTGTTAAAAGCTTTAGAGCCTCCGGTTCAGAGATGCAACATGTTACCCATAAAAGGGCAACTTCTTTCCTTAGAGTTACAGAGCAATCCTAAAAAGATCCACTGTCCACAGCGAGTTCTGTAAAGGTTAGAGAGTTGGGGTTGGAGCTGAGAGATTTAGGTCCCAATCCCTCCTCTTCCAGGGAGGCTGGTTGAGTGACCTCGGGCCAATCACCTACAGGAGTATTGTAAGGATGAAATGGAGGAGAAAGTTATAAGCCACCCACGTTGGGTCCCGTTTGGAGAGAAAAGTGAAGTATAAATGAAAGAAGTGCATAAATAAATAAATCTACTCGGGATCTTACTCAAATATATTCAATGGGAAGGTGTTTTCTTAGGGTTGCACTGATGATTTCCAGTGCCTTTTCAACCTCTTTTTTGCTTGTCCGTCTGCACCCTTCACCTCTTTTCCCCAAGTGGCTCCTTATAAGGGTGCAAAGACCAGTACACACACACACACAATACATTTACTAAGAAATCTTTCTGTATCCACAATGTGCGCAAGAGAGGAACCGGCAAGTCTTTCTTCCCACACCACCGTTGCGACTACCTGTTGGCCAATATGAATTTTTGGATATGATTTTAATAGACGATCTTGTCTTTTAATTGACTGTGGTTGCCTCTGACTAGACTAGGCGAGGAATTTATTGGTCTTAGAAGAAAAAAGACAAAGGGGGGGGGGAACCAAACAAGAATCCAGCCGCATAATTTGGCTGTTCCATTTCCACCCCATCTTTCACACACACACACAAGACTTGGTCTTATTTCCAGTGGCAAGACTGAACAAACCTAGTGGTGAGGAACCATGCTGGGGGGAGGGTTTTTTTGAATAATACTCCCAGCCCTAGACTTTCACCCTAAACCTTGGTCTCTCTCTGTCTCCTTCTTCCTTTTTTGCAATTTCCCCCCTTTGCCCCCTCCCCTTCCCCCCCTTCTCAGCACGTGTCAGATGTGAGGCGCCTCCACCGCTCAGGGAAGCAAAGACTGGAAAGGGGAGGGAGGGCAGGGGCGGGCAGGATGAGGGAAGAAAGAGAGAGAATACAATGGTGCCCGGAGGGGGCGCTGATTGGCTGTTGCTAGGTGACGTCGCCCGCCCTCACGTGACTGGTGTTAAATGCCCGCCTGGCAGCCCGCGGCCGCAGCAGACAATCGTAAAGCCACTGCTGGGGAGACAGGCGGAGAGGCGGCTGCCCCGGGGTGGATCGGTGGGAAGAAGAAGTACAAACACCCCACCCCACCCACCCCCAAACAAAGTTTTAGCGCC